TCTCTTCGTGAATATGCTGGTTTGGCTTTATAAACACGATGAATACTGTCACTTTAAACACAGAAAACTGAATTCCGTTCAGTTCTAGACACATAAATCAACGCATTTCTTTCGGAATCAGTTTCAGATTGGTCACAGCGGCAACAGTGGTGTTCACAGTAGAAGCAGGCCTAAATTTAGGGCCGTAGTCGCTTTGAAAATGATAATTATATATAAAGCACAGTTTGAGGACGGATTTATTTTATTTGCTTGGTGATTTCGTCTTTTTCTTTTTTTCTCTCTTTTTTCATCTTAAAGATCACTTATTGTATTTGCGCACAGAGACGTCACATAAACCTAGTTTCACTGTATAGTTGTCAAATATGTCTCGGTGTCTTTTTCACTGAAATAAGTATTAGTTTAGAAGTCATTGGCTATGATGATTTGGTTGCTCTTTCTCCAGATAAAATGTGCAAACGATGCAAGTGTGAGGCGAAAGCACCTGAACGCACATCGCACGCATTCGGTCTCTCTCAGGACAAGACTGCCATCTCATGGGTTATTCGGACAGCCCGCCTCGGTCCGTCGGGACGCCACAGAGCCGTCCCTTCACCCGCCGCCTCCTGCCCCGGCCGGTCCTGCGCTCGGCCGTTCAGTCGTCCTCGTGGTCGTGGCGAGCGCGCGACCGCCTCCGCGCCTGCTTGCGCGGCTTCGGTCGTGTCTGGACGTGGGCGCGCGGCCAGCGCGAGATGTGCTAGGTCTCCAGGTGGATCTGCTGGCTCGTCCTGGTTCTGGGGATGTGGCGCGGCAGGGCGGCTCCCTCCGAGGGCGCCAGCACGCTCTCCAGCTGCTCCAGGGTCTTTTTGGCGACGTTGAGTACGTTTTCCTCGCCCCCGCCCAGCCCGCCACGCCCGCGGATGCCCTCGCGCCCGCGTACCCCGAACTCGGAGAAGCGCGGCTGGTTGATGGGCGGCAGAGGGACTACGTGGCCCTCCGAGGGCGTGCACGACGGGCCGCGCCCTCTGGCCCCCCGGATGTGGTCCCAGCCCTCGGAACGCGTCGAGGAGTCCAGCAGGTCCGTCACGGTCTCGTCCTCGTCGTCGTCGTCGTCGTCCTCGGGGCGCAGGTTCCGCGTGGGCGACACGGTCAGCGACCGGGGCTCGGAGGCGGACCGCGGGAACGACGAGAACGTGACGCGACGCGACGGCGCCACCGACCGCCCCTCGCTCTTGGTGCTGCCGACGGAGGCGCTGAGCGACACGTCCAGGAGGCGGCCGGGCAGGAGAGTGGGCAGTGACGGGCGCGCGGGCGTGGGTGGGCGATGCCCGGGGCGGTTTTCCGTGTCTTCCTGCACTAGATGCTGGATGCTGCGGTTGAGAGACCTGGAGGAGGCACTGAGGTCGATTTTGGGCATGCCCGAGGAGCTGGCCGAGCACGAGCCCCCCGAGGGCCCGGACACCGCGGTCTTCCTGCCGTTCCCGCTGCTCATCTTGTCGTCTGCGCTGTCGTCCGCGTTTCCTGGGGCGCTTCGCTCGCACTCCATCAAGGACTCCGTGTCGGCCTCATTACCTGCGGCGAAAAGGGTCTCACTTTGCAGGAAGACTGAAAGCGCCGCCGCTCACTCCGTCCCGACCAGCGATTGGGCGGACATGCATGAGATTGCAATTGAGTCCCTGCGTTTGCTCAAAGTTACTAGTGTTATGCTACTACGTAACGGAAGGAATATATCTTTTAAACTGAATTATTTTGAAGTGAATCCTTGCCGTTATGATTTGCACTGTCTTTAGTATTAGTGGTGAAAGTTGTGGTAGTAATAGAAGTAATGGTTTTCGTATTAATAATATTGTTTCTATTATATTATTATTTTTATTATCATTATTATTATTATCATTGTTATTATTATCATTATCATCATCATCATTATTGCTGTTGTTGTTATTATTACTATCATTATTATTTTTATTACTGTGATCATTTTTATCATTATCATCATTATTGATTATCATCATTATAATATTTGTTAACATTATCATCATTATTTTTTTTGTTATTATTATTATCGTTATTATCAATATTATTGTTATTATTATCATTTTTGTTTATCATTATTATTATCATTATTATCATTGTTATCATTATTAGTAGTAGCAGCAGTAGTAGTAGTAGTATTGTTGTTGTTTCTCTTCATTATTACCATTATTATTGTTAATATTATTATCATCATTATCATTATTGTCATCATTGGTATCATTATTATCAATACCCGAAGGACCTACCAGATCCTGGACTTCCGGCCACAATAAGTCCTTTCATCAACTCTTCCAAGACCTGTTTTTCGAGTCGGTCGGGACCTGCGACTCGGACTGGCTCTGTCTTCCCCTTCTCTTCCTCCTTCTGGCTTTTCTTGTTTATTTCTCTGTTCTCTTCTATTTCAGTTTCCCATCCGACGATACTCCGGTCTCTGGCCCGCGCTGAGGTCGGGTCATAGCCTGTGGGGGAGGGGATGTTGGGGGGGGGTTAA